TCTAACGACAGTAACTAAATTCTGTCGCTACATATTAAAAAATTTCAGAAATTAATATTCTGCTTATAATTCTGGCGACGGATTTAAAATCCGTCGCTAGAGTGTTTATAATGTAAATTTAGATATAATTCCTGTTATAACTATAGCGACGGATTTGAGGATCCGTCACTATATATAGCGACAGATCCACATATCCGTCGTTAGAATATAAACGCAATTAAATTCGGGTTACAAATGCAGCAACGGAAATGGATTCCGTTGCTATCTAGCGACGGATACGAAATTCCGTCGCTAACTAGCGACGGATGAGCAAATCCGTCGCTACAATGCAAGCATAAATAAATACCTCTTAAAAATTTAACAACGGAAATATATTTCCGTCGCTATTTTGTACCAATTAAACTAGTGAAATTGCCCCGCGCAAAATTTCGTCGCAAATCCGTCGTAAATCTGTCTTTAATTTTACCGCCAACATTTACCGCCAAAATTAGCTACGTTTTTAACTACGGAAATATCCCGTCGCAATATCCGTCGTTAATCCGTCGCTAGTCCGTCGTTAAATATTCATTTAACAAAAAAATTAAAATTTGTCACTAATTTGTCGCTATTCCGTAGCTAAATTAGCAACGGAATTCGTCTGTAGCTAAATCCGTCGTTATTTCCGCTTTTTTTTGTAGTGTAAGTTATCAAAGAAGTTTATAAGTTGTTGAATCTATGTGAACAGTCTTGTACATACATAAGCATGCCAGCTGATATTATAGGGTGCAAGCATCTAGAAATAATGTGATACATCTTAAGATGATTTGAGAATAGCTTATTGCTATAAAGATATCAAATGTTTTCAAAGTATATGCTAGAATGCTTTACAGGGTTGAGTGTGGTTATACTTAGCTTCGTGCTAACGGGTGTGTTTCCTATTTGTCTATGTGTTGCTTGCAAAACCCCTTTCAGGTGGGCCCAACAGTGTGAAGAAGTCGAGTTAGATTAGTCTCGTAGATAGAGATGTCTAAACTCTAGTACCTTTGATGCTATGTACGGATTGTAGTTTTATCGACTTTATGTTTGAGGATTGATGTAGACTATTTTGGGGTGAAGTTTTCCCCCTTACGTTTTGAGTATTTATTTTTAGTACCCAGACTTAATCTTATTTTTAGTTTTACCCTTTTAGCCTGTGCAATCACCAAAGAGTGGTGGTTGTGGCGGTGACACTCCCACTATTTATCTATTAGTTTTCCGCTGCTTAGTTATATTAATGATTGTTTAGAGATGTACTTAAGAGTTAGAAAAGTGAGATGTTACACACAGGCCAACAAAAGGTAACGTCTAAACATGGTAGCTACTCTATCTAGCGTCCACATATAGCGCTCTCGGCATCTACTCAAAACCTGTAAAACATGGGGATAACACCCGGTCAACGAATATTGCTGGTAACCCATCAATACGCGTTAAATAGCATATATAGATAGATATAATCAAAACCATTTGGAACGGGAATACAATATATATCATTTCAAAAACAAAGAGAGAAGTCAACACCAAAGACTCATCAATCACTCTCAATAAAAACGAGGATCATCATCCTCATGACATCAACAAGACCACAAACATGAAAGACAACACAACTCAGGATGCATCCTACTACAAAGTAGAATACATCAAGACATGCTCATAAGCAAAGAAAACACATTCACACGGTGACAACTACATGTCACAAGTTTCATAGTTCCAACCTTATGCCCTGTTACAACCTTATGGCTACCCTCGACCTTATTTCGGTTCCAACCATTACCTCCTAGTGCCACCTTGTACTTCTGAGTCCAAACTTTTGCCTTCGGGGACCGTCGCTCCCCGCCGACACTCTTATTCACCACCGATCTCTCAGTACACAAGGGTACCATTAAATATCACAATCACAAAACCACCAATCTCGTGAGCAAAGCTCAAGTAACAAACCACCAATCTCAATCATAGTCACACAAGGCCATCATCATTACCAAGAAGACTAAGGCTCAACAATAGTCTCAATCACAAATCAACACAAGAATCACAAGTAGAAGCCAAGAATCATCATATAAGTAAGAAAATAGGTTTTGTAAAGCATGGGTTACCTTTGTAGCCTAACAACTTCCTCTTTTCACCCTTAAAAGCCTTTCCTAGAGCTCATCTTCCACACCAACTTCTTACACTTAACAAAACACAACAAAGATCCTATCTTTAGAAAAAGACACCTAAAAGAAGGTTAAAAACACAAAAAAGCTAATGATCTTACCCTTTCCTATTCCTAAGATGAAGAAAGTAGGAATCTTGGAAGAAAATTTTGCAAGGTTTGGATGCTCAATTTCGAGCTTGGAGAAGAAGCTAAATCATTTTAGAGAGAGGCTAGAGTTTTTGAGTTTTAGGTTGAAAGGTGAATGACATGAGAGTATCTTGGTAGGTTAACTTGAATCACAATTCTTAGGTAGAAAGACATTCCTACCCTTACTAATGTTGGAAAGACAAGGGAACAAGGGCACAACTCAAGAAGCACAAGGTACAACCCTTTGACTTAAGTGACTAGTCAAAATCTAGTCCATTGACTATTAAATTTTAGGATTTTTAGAAATAGATTAGCAAGGAAAACTTGGATTAATTCTTCAATTAATCATCGATTAGTGTTTGGATTTACGGGGTGTCACATCATCTCCCCTTAACAAGAAGCTTCGTCCCCGAATCTTGGGCACGACGAGTTCAAACAAACGAGTAGCAACGAATCAACAAAGTGACAAAAGGAAACAAAACACCATTAAACAAGACTTCAAAGATCCAACAGGTGTAAGGTTTGCAAGAATCAAGAAAATTCAAGGTTTCAAAAGTCACAAAAGATACTTCTCAAGCGACACGAAAACTACCACCACCTTAAGGACAGCTAGGATCTTACTACACCGATCCTATACCAAGAACAACTAGGTCCTTACAAAGCAAGGCAACTAAACCAACTACCCAAACAACAAGCTAAAAACTAAGGCAAACAAGAGAGAACAACTAAACACAGCCAACAAGCAACAACTACCAAACGGCAAACCAACAAACGAGAGAAGAAACGAGCTTACCCCAACTCCGGCCTAGGAGGAATCATCCTCCGAATCCTCGTCGACCTCGTCCAAAACCTCTTCAGCCCCACCATAGCTAGAACCGGCCTCCAACCTATCTAACCTTTGATTGACAGTAACAAACTGAGCCTTCATGAAAGAGAAGCCTTCCTCAATCATCCGATTCTGCTGACGGAGAAAGGTCACCACCCGTTCCTCGTGTGTCATGGAATCATTCTCTTTCTTGGTCCTTACTTCCTTCCTCCTTACGTTCTCTTCGCTTTCAGAGTCACTTTCCTTGACCTCCTCTGTTTCTCCTCCTTCTTCTTCCTCTTCTCTCTCTTCTTCGCCTTCGTTCTCAGCATCTCCACCCAAGTTTTGCACTGCTAGGTTCAACTTTCCAACTGGAATCTCAAGCTCTTAACCTAACGAACTCCTCTCGACAGGGGCTTTCCTTGCGACTTCTTCAAGAGTTATGCAATCACCATAATCCAACTGAAACATATTGCAACTGCGGAGATTTGTGGCATCCAGAACCATATTGCCCACCGGCTTGGGCACATAGCCTTCAACACTCACCCCCTTCCTAACAAAGATCCAACTTAAAACCATGCCATAAGGCAAACTCTTTCGGTTATGATCTCTACAGTAGACCATATGTTACAACATCAACGAAGGCAAGTTGAACTTCACTTTGTATTTCAGATAGAAAGCAAAGGTGCACTCCAGCTTACCCAACAAACGAATCTTATTGTTGTTAGGCAACAGACAATCAGAAACGATCATTACCAAAATCTTTTGCTCGACAGAAAGCCACTTCCTCTCCGGCCTCGTGGCCTGGGGGAACCCACTAGTTATTCCCAACAGATAACTCAGGTAATTCCGATAACTCATGCTGCTTGTCTCAATCCAAGAGTCACCATTGTACTGTGAGACTCCCGTAACCGTCAAACTGAAAAGCTGAGCCAACCGTTTCTCGGTTAAGGAAATTTTTACACCTCCCACCTTAGAGGTAATTTCCAATTTCCCACCATCTTTGGTCACACTCATGTGACGGTAGAATTCTTTTACCAAACTCGGGTAAGTCTCGGTCATAATTGCGAGATACCCATCCAACAAACCTTGGTAATTCAACAACTCCAACAAGGAACTCGAAAAAGAGTCAGGATCAAAAGCTTTACCTTCCAAAACTAGGTAATGGGCATCCACCCATTCCACTTTTCTCGCAGATTTAGACCTCCTAGGCATGATTTGAGATGACCCAAAACCAAGGTAGACCCAAACTTCTTTTTCTTTTCTTTTTCTTTTCTTCTCTTTCTTCTCGGCTGCAATTCCGGCGGGGCAGCGGCGAGGCGGCGACGATGAGCTCCGATGGCGTCTGGCGAGGCAGTTGGCGGCGACGAGAGTGGCGACCGACGGGGGTTGGGGTTTTGGCTGAAGCTCACGGGTAGAGGGAAAGAAGGAAGGGTTTTGGAGGAAATTTGGGGAAAGAAGATTTTAATTTGGGGATTTTTGGGTAAGTTGAAAATAAAAGGATAAAAGGAATTTATGTGTGATAAAGTTTAAGAAGTATAATTGGTCTAGGTGGTTCAAGGGTTGGGTTGGAAACTCAAAGACCCAAGTTTGAAACTCACTAGCTATGAATTAAACTCCCTTTGAATTTAACTTAAGAGGTTTCCTAATTGTTGACTATCTTAAGTTTTAAGTTAACGAATTAGGCTTAGGTGACACGAAGGGGTGAGGTCTGAATTAAATGAACTAAAGTAAACACACAGAAAGGTGCAAGGATAACACGAAAAAGGTACGCTCGCAAGGTAAAAGGTAGGCTCTAGAAATATTACGTACAGACTCCTCCTCCACCCAACCCTCGGTCTTAGCCTGCGACCGGCTCATCACGAACACTCTGCCCGAAGGCTTCGTCCCTGCCACACCTCAACCGGAACTCCCCTCCGAAGGTCCACTGGAACACGTGCCAGGTGGCAAGGCTCTCTGGTTGGATTTTAGACGGCACTCAAAGGCTTTGTGGCCCCTTTCCCCGCACTTGTAGCACCGAAGCGCGTTCCCTTGGCAATCCTTCCCAATGTGGTCCTTCCCACATCTCTTGCATCCGAAAGGCCTCTCTTTTTCTCCACTCTTGACCTGAGTCGATCCTTGAGACGGAGGAAGCGCGGGTCTGGCTCTGAAATCTTGTGTCGGCTTCTTGAAACTATAGGACCCACTTCCTTTACTTCTCTTCTTGGCAAACTCAAAAGACCCACACTGAAGCTGTTGCACTCGATACAGATCTGCTGCACTCAGATAGGCCTCATTCAGCGTCCTAGGCTTGCTTACAGTCAAAGCTTTCCCGGCTTCGTAGTTGAGCCCCGCCACAAACTTCTCCACCTTTACCAACTCGATGGGAACCAACATATGAGCAAAACGGGCGAGCTCAAGGAAGCGCTTGCGGTATTCCACCACAGATGACAACCCCTGCTGAAGATGTAAGAACTCCTCGTACATGGCTGCTCTAACGTGAGATGGGTAGAACCTCTCCCTCAACTTGTCCTTCCGAGCTGACTAGTCAAAACTAGGTTCTTCTTGGCACGCAGGGCCTTCGTGCACCCACCAGAGGTCGGCCTCGTGGCTAAAGTAGAAAGAAGCCAACTCCACATGGCGATTTTTTGGGCAACCCACAATGGCGGAGATCTTGTCGAGGGACCGAATCCACTCTTCAAGCAACACGGGATCTTCCTCTCCGGCGAAAACTGGCGGCCTATGCCTCGAAACTAAGCGTCCCACATCGTGATTTTCTGCAAGCGGCGGCGGAGGAGGAGGGTTGTTGTTGTGCAGGAGGGCATCACTCATCGTCTGCATCGTTTGGGTCAGATGCTGCAGGTTCTGAGCCAGTTGCTCGTTGGTCGGCGTCTTAGGGGTACGGGCACGATGAAAAGGCGGAGCCATGGCGAGACTTCTATAGAAACAACACGGTTACGGTAGGCACAAACAAACAGCGCACCCTTACCCAGAGCTAAAGACGAGAACGCTACAACTAAATAGAAGCAACGGAGCAAACACAACAAACAACAAACAACTCACAGCTCACCGCGTGTCCTAGGAGTCCTAAGTCCTAAACACTTTGGTACTTAAAGGTCATCTTATGGTCTCAAACCACACTTAACTTCTTAAACTCCAACTCTAAACATCTTAGGTTCAAACCTAGGCTCTGATACCAACTGTAACACCCCCGATTTTTCAACATTTTTAAAACTTAATTTCAAAGGTAAACATCTAATCATCAAGATAAACAACAGCGAAAACTTAATTAAAATCGGAGAGATGTTATGCCACACCTATATCAAACATAGGTGCACAGGCGGAAAACTATCAAGTCAACAAACAGTAAACGTCTAGGCACACAAGCCACTAGTCTAGGCACACAGGCCAACAAAAGGTAACGTCTAAACATGGTAGCTGTTAGACTATATTATTATTATGTATTTATTTATGTACATTCTATTAGTGATCTAGTCTCTAGCCTATTAGATAGATCTCTCTCTCTAAGTGTATTAAGGTTATCAGAATTCTGTAACTGAATGAATTAATCGCTTCCATTCTCATCTGGTATCAGTTAGCCAGTAGGAATACCCCGTGTAACACCCCAGATTTTCAAGATATTTAAAACTTATAAAATAAAGGTGAGATCTCATTAAATCCCAAAACATAATACAAGAGTACGGGGTGCTATGCCACACCTGAGCTAGAGAACTCAGGTGCACAGGCTAACTAACTAATTTCCTCAATAATGTAAATGCATAAACATGGCACGCAGGCCAAAAGGGAAACTATCTACTTCTACGTTCCAAGTTCTAGCGCGCTCCAGTGACTTATTCTTCTGTGCCTGAAAGCCAAATATATCTGTTCAGCGAGAGATGCTGGTAACCCACTCCAACGCGTTGAAATACAATACACATATATATATATATATATATATATATATATATATATATATATATATATATATATATATATATATATATATATATATATAGATATAGATATACGAAAAGTCATTTCGAAGCATGAAGATATATCCTACGAGACTCTAGCTTTGAAATCAGGGAACCGACTCGACAAATAGGGGTACACACAGTCTATAGTCATAACCAAGCATATACAATTCTCACACAGGAAACAGTCATAGATAAGCACAACCAATAATCACAATTAAGTACTACTAGCAAGAGCCCTATAACAGTCACAACATCAACCCTTCTTATCTCATCATATAGCACACTTTGTTGGCGCCACAGGACCAATCGCATGCCCATACATGAGGGTCAGCGCATATAGCTCTGACACGACCCCGCTGCACCCTGCCCCGTCTCACACTACGGAGGGGTCGATCGCAACCGACCGATGAGCCGCAGCTCTATATAATATTTATATACCTGACCGGTCTTTACCAGCCTGGTTAACAGTTGGGATGGTTCTCAACCCATTCAACTGCCCGTATAGTGGACCTTTGTCCTATATAATATTTATATACCTGACCGGTCTCTACCAGCCTGGTTAACAGTTGGGATGGTTCTCAACCCATTCAACTGCCCGTATAGTGGACCTTAGTCCTACATAATATTTATATACCTGACCGGTCTCTACCAGCCTGGTAAACAGTTGGGATGGTTCTCAACCCATTCAACTACCCGTATAGTGGACCTTAGTCCTATATAATATTTATATACCTGACCGGTCTCTACCAGCCTGGTTAACAGCCGGTATGGTTCTCAGCCCACCCGACTGCCCGTATTGCCCGATTGATCTCAACCAAATCGGGGTAACATGCACACATAACACATAGCAAGCACATGCAACCCACATTAACACATTTGGAAGGGGGAGAAAACGTATAACAAAACCTATGCGTGATCCTTCACATTCTAAGAATAGCCCTAAGGGGTTCATACTTCTTTCACCTAGGTCAACGGGATACCAATTCAACTAGCATGCAATATATAAGACTCATACGACCTACGAACGGTACCCGAAAATCAAACTAGACATAGGCACGATAGACGGAGTCCGTTGGGACACCACGGGGGTCGGGGGAACGTCAAACGGGGAAGCCGGGATCCCGAAGTGGGGTATAGACCAGCGGGTAGCTGGTGGGTGGGGGTCACCCGCCGGCTGCCCGCCGGCGTTCTACTAACCCGGGCAGCGGGTGCCCGGCGGGCAGCTGCCCGCTGCCGGCGTTGCCCAACTTGGCCGCGGGTAGGTGGCGGGTCCCCTACCCCCCACTGACTTTTTTTCATCAAAAACGCCCCGGGAACCTTTGTGGAACCCGAAACCATGCTTAGACACTTTCAAACGCAATTGATAACACACGTAGACAATTAACGGTTCAAAATCAAGAAACAAACGGCACATAACCTATCATGCTTTTCTAAACATAATAAACACCCAATCATGCGAATTCCCACCCAATACACCAAGAATAATACCATACGGATTCCACGATATAACCTAGGGTTCTAATTGTTTTTAAATCAATAAGAACACAATTCATCTTCCAAAATCAAGATTCGGTAGGAATATCATATAACTATCAAGAACCTCATATAATCATTAAGAACATCAAGTACACCATATAATTATCAAGAACGTCATATAATCATCAAGAACACCATAATTATCAAGAACGTCATATAATCATCAAGAACACCATAATTATCAAGAACGTCATATAATCATCAAGAACACCATAATTATCAAGAACCTCTCCTCATCAAGATCACCCATGGAATCATCCCATCAATCATCAATAGTAATATCACAAATAAACAATACACAATATTATGGGGAAATCCTAAGAGGGGAATCATAGCTATGGAAATAGGTTTTGTTGAGACATGGGTTACCACTTAGCCTTAATTAATTCCTTGGCTATGAAGGGTCTTTCTTTAAGCTTTCTTGCTTTCTTGATTTCTTCTAAGGGAATTCTTGGAGCTCTTTGGGTGGTGAGACGTTATTGTGGTGGGGGGTTCTAGGTGCCTCTTAAGTCCCCTATTTATATATTTAGGAGTCCTAATTAGGAACTAATATTATAGGCTTGCTAATGCTATTCCTTTTGGGACTAAGAATTGGGTTTATGGATAAGGGCCCATGAACTATGGTGGGCCTTTCCTAATTAATTATTGTGATTTAATTCTTTCTTTTGGGTAATTGGTTAAATGATTAATTGGTTTTAGTGATCGTAACACGGGGTGTTACACTCTCCCCCCCTTACGAGGGGCTTCGTCCCCGAAGCTCGGTGTGTTAATCCATTCTTTCACCCCTAGGCATCCCGCATCTTGGCCTCCTGGTTAGGAATGTGGCCCCACGTTTTGCCTTAGCTGGGGTAGACTGGATTTCTGGTGGTGTCGTGATAGAAGGGTTTTGGGTCTACCTCGGTCTCCTGCTCCTGAGCTGGACGCCCCGCGAGTGCCCAAGGTGGCCTCGATTGCTGCCACCCTCTGATCTAGTGCGCGTGTTGTACGGATCAAGGATGAGAACCCTTCCTCCATGATTTGGTTTTGCCGGTTGAGCTGTGCGAGTATGCATTCATTGATTGAGCTCTCGTTCTGCTCCCTTGGGTTTTCTCCTGATCGTGGTTGCACCGACAGGTTGGGTTCTTCATCCTCCTCCTGGTCCTCATTTCCCTCCAGGATTCCACAATCTTGCATTGCTCGTTTGAGCTTTTTGTTGGAGATGTCTAATTGGTCGACCAATTCTCTTCGTTCATCCTCGGGTTTTTGGCAAATTTCTTCGAGGGTGAGGTAATGTCCTCCCTCGGTGTAGTAGATATCATTGCGGCGTAGGTTCTGGGCGTTAAAGACCATGCCATTTGCGGTCTTGACCTCGGTGTGGCTTAGGTCCACCCCCTTTTTCTCCATGATCCAACTTAGGATCATCCCGTAGGGTAGGCTAAGTCGGTTGCTTGATTTGCAAAACTCCATGTGTTTTAGCATGAGGGCCGGCAGGTTGATCTTGATTTTGTGTTTCAAGAAGTAGGCAAAGGTGCACTCTAAACTTCCTACGTCCTTGGTCTTATTATTGGTGGGCAAGAGGCTATCGGTTACAACCATAACCAATATCTTTTGCTCCGCCGATAGCCACTTCCGGTTGGGTCGTGTGGCCGAGGTAAACCCGTCCTCTTTTCCGAGTAGGTACCCGAGATAGTCCTTGTACCCCGTGTTTTGGGTATCGATCCACCCCTTTCGGTCGTAGTTTGACACACCCGTGGTGGTCAATTTCAAGAGCTTGGCCAAACGGCCTTCGGAAAGCACAATTTCCTTGCCGCGGACCTTGGTGGTGATTTCTAGTTTGTCACCCCGTTTGATGGCTACAAGATTTTGATAGAATTCTTTCACCAATTCGGGGTACGTATCCCCTTTGATGGTGAGATACGTATCTAAAAGCCCTTGGTGTTTAAGCATATCAACCAATTCCGGAGAGAATTGGTCGGGTTCAAGGGCTTTACCTCC